GCAGGTAAATGACAGTAGTATTCAGCAGAGTCTACTCCTCATTGCTGTTGGCTTGGAGCTGACTCATAGCAGACCCTCCAGCAGGTTTCTGGGGCTGTAAATCACATGCAAGGAGATTGCCCAGCTTTCTCCCACAGAGCTATTGTGGCTTAATACCACCATGGAAGGGAGGCTTGGGGTTAGCAGTGCAGCTTGCTGTGGACTATGCAACCAATGCTCCCTGAAGACTAGAGCGGGTACCCCATTACACCAGGTTGTCACAGAGGGAGGGACATAGGGCACCTCCATTTGTGGTGTTCAGTGACACTGGTGAGGTGCCTTTACAGACTGGCCAGGCTTTCACTGGTAGGCCAGCACACCCCCCTAACCCTCTGATCCTCTCTGGTTACAAGGCACCCAGCAAATGTTTGATTCAGTGCTTTTTAAAATGCTGCGGATAAAGCAATGGACATATGTTGTTCCTGACTTCACAGGGAGACAGAGAATAAGCTAATAAACACATAGGCAATATGATAAAAAATAAAACCGTAAAAAGAAAGGAGGTGTGAAGGTGGTTGGGGTGTGCTATTTTAGATAGTGGGGTCAGAGAAAGCCTTCCTGAGAAGGTGACGTTTCAGCAAAAACATAAATTATCGGAAGGAGCAAGCTCTGCCAAGAGCTGGAGGAAGTGAGTTGCCAGCCAAGAAACAGCTAGCATGAAGACTGAGGCGGGGGCGGGCTTGGCACCCGGGGAGGAGCTGGGGGGCGGTGGGGCTGGAGCAGCTGGAGTGTGAGGGAGCCTTGGAGAGGTCACAGGGGGCGCAGGGGTTCCTTAAAGAAGTGTGGATAGTACTATGGGCGTGATGGGCAGTTACTGATGGGTCATCAGCAGGTTACTGCTGTGCTCTAATTGATGTTGGGGGTTTTCCTTTGTCTTGTTTTTGGTTGGTTTGGTTGTGTTTTTGTTTTTTTAAATCTATGTGGTTAGGGAAGTTTTGTTTGTTTTTTGGGGTTTTTTTTAAGATCTATATACTGAGTAAAGAATAAGTTGTCAGCAGCCATGGGGGCCAATTTTGGAAACAGGAAAACTATTAAAAATCTAGTATTTGCCATCAAGGAAGCTCTGGTGGCACAGTTGGGCTGCTAACCCTGAAGGTGGTTCAGATCCACCAGCTGCTGCACGGGAGTGATGGATATTCTCTCCTGTACAATTTACAGCCTTTGAAAACTCGTCGGAATGTCAGCTCTGACTTACAATAATGAGAAAACCCGCTGGAAGGTCAGCTCTGACCTACAATGATGAGTTTGAGGGATTGTTATTGAGTTGCTGTCAAATTGGCTTTAACTCATGGTGTGTGTGTCAGGGTAGAACTCTGCTCCAAAGGATTTTCAATACCAGATTTTTTTAAATTTTGTTTTTAAGTAGACTACAAGACTTATCTTCTGAGGTGCCTCTTAGTGAATTTGAACCTCCAACCTTTTGGTTTGTAACTGAGGACATTAACTTGCACCCCTCACCATAATCCAAGTACAAGATAACTTAGACAAAAGAGAGAAAGTCTGCTGTTAGGGACCTCTTCAAAATACTGAAAAGCAATGGTGTCTCTCTGGAGACTAAGGTGTACCTGATATAGGCCTTGGTCTTTGAAGTCACTTGCTATGCATCAGAGAGCTGGGCAATGACTAGGGAGGATAGAGAATTGATGCCTTTGAGCTGTAGTGGTGAAGAAGAGTGCTGAATATACCTTGGACTGCTAAGAAAACGAACAGGTTCATCCTGGAGAGAGTTAAACCAGGCTGCTCCTTGGAGGCAAGGATTCTGGGGCTTCGTCTGACATACTTTGGACATGTTGCAAGGAGGGGCCAGTCCTTGGAGAAGGATGCCATGCTTGGGAGAGTGGAGGGACAGTGCAGGAGGAGAAGACGCTCAGTGAGATGGATTGATTCGCTGACTGGGGTCATGGGGATGGGGGTGTTGGAGACAGGTTGGCACAGGACAGAGCAGGGTTTAGGGCTGTTGTACATTGGGTTGCTATGAGTCGCAGGCAACTCAACAGCATATAACAACAACAACCAACCTTGTAGTTAAATCACATCATCTTACTTTTAGGAGCTAAGGATAGGAAGTGATTTAGGATCCCAGTTGGAGAAATCTCAGGAACTCAGAAGATAGAACTGTTGGAAGTACAATACTGTTATAAGAACTGGGCTCCTCACTTGTCTTCCCGTGCTGGAAGGTATCCCTTTTCTCTGATAGGACTTCCTCTCCACCAAGAACCAGAGTTCCTACTTGTAGTCCTGGTTCCTGGGGAGAGACTCCACAGGCAGCTGAGTGACAGCACAGCAAAGGCCACTCCGAGGTCAGCTGACCTCATTCCCAGCCTGTGTTTGCTGCTCGATATTGAAAGCATTCATTGTGCTCTCCTCTGTTTCCTGAGGTTTTTACCAAGGTCAGTACTGCCTTCATTTCCTCCACTCTTCACCTCCTCTTGGAAATGGCCTTTTCCTTGTAAAGCCCTCAGCTGGGAGCTATTTGCATCTCAGATCTGTCGAGGCTGGACAGTGGCATCGCTTGCTTTGTATTTTGTAGCGCTGGGCCTGCATTCTCCTGTGGGTGCTTGTATTTGGACAAAACCTTGCAATATTGTGTTTAGAGAAAACAGTTCATTTCTAGAGTTCTGTACTTAATAGAAAACGCAGTTACTTCTGTAAAGTCAATTCTGACTGTAAATCTTAACAGACATGGCAGATTGCTTCATCTTCTCCCGTGGAGCAGCTGGTGGATGGAAGTCACCGATCTTTCCACCAGCAGCACAGCGTATAACCCACTATGCCAGTTTGGCTCCCCACGGAGAATTCACTCAGGCTTCATTCTCGTACTTTTTTTCGGCATCTGCTCCTTAACCTGGTTCTGGTGTTTGCATCCTAGACTTTGGAACAAATCTCTAAGCTTGTGTTTATACATGAGCTTGAGCATTTTCTCACAGTGTTTTGTGAAGAGTAAATGACTATGCAGGATCCCAGTGAACGATACTGGGTCTTCACGTAAGCTCTGCTGAGGAGCCTGACTTGTGTGACGTTCATTATGTTTCAGGAGTAGGTTGGTGTTTGCATCACCCTTTCCTCTCGTCTTTGTTTTTCTCCATCTCACTGTTAAGGATCAGAAGCCCCCGTGGTAGAATGTGTGCCCATACATGTGGGGCTGCCAGCTGGCAGATCTGCAGTTTGGATCTCCAGGAAAAGAACGGGCCATCTCCTTCTGTGAAGGTCTACAGCCTCCCAGACCCACTAGAGGGTCACTGTGAGGTGGAATCAACTCCGTGGCAATGGGTTGTTGCTAGGGATTAATGGGTTAATGCCAGGAATCTTCCTCATCAGACAGGGCTTTAACCTGACTTAATATCAGGGAGTTCTGGTAGCTTAGTGCTAAGGATGCTGTGCTGCCAACCTGAAGGTATGTGGTTTGAATCCACCGGCTTCTCCACAGGAGAAAGATAGTCCGTCTTCTATGCAATTCATTGCCTCTGAAAATCCACTGGAGGGTCAGGTCAGAGTCAGTTCTGACTCAGTGGTACTTAACAGCCTTAAATGGATGTAATTATTGAGTATTATCACTGGTTACCTACACCTTACCCAATTTGAATGTACTAAGTTGCTCTAGCTTGCTTTCTGATTTTTCTGGAGAAATGACTGACCACACTTTGCTTAGAGGAGTCAGGGGTTTGGGATAAAGCCCACAAGTGTTCCCCATTCCTCTCTCCTATTTGACAGATGGAGTGGTCCCCTTCATCCTGGATCCAGAAGGATTGAGGACTGTCATCCTGCGTCATTGCAAGCTTGGATGCAGTGATGGCACCGAATAAACCATCAGTTTGTTATTTTCTTGTGATTTAAACCATATTTACTTCACACATGGTGGCGACACGCTTTTCCTCTCTGGATATATTGCATTGGGATATATTGGTTATATTATGCCGTTATGTATTACAGCCCACGCACGTTTGTGTAATTTCATCAATAGCCTGATGCATTTCTAGCTGTCGACTCCTCCATCTTCACTTAGTCCCGCTACAGCCTCACTTCTCCGGTATTTCTGATCAGATGACAGGGCCTCCCATCTGTCCACTCACCAAAAACCTTCATATCACCTTGTTCTCCCTCATTTAATGAATCTCCAAAGTCTGCTGCGTCTACCTCCTGTTGTGTTGTTGTTATGCACCATCGAGTCAGAATAGACCCATCGCTCACCCTCTGGCGGGTTTTCAGAGGCAGGTAATTGCATGGCGGGAGATTGCCCATCCTTCTGTGGAGCAGCTGATGGATTTGAACCCCATGGCGTAGAGATTACAGCACAGCTTCTTGTCACTAGGCCACCTTCACCTTCCTCGCTAGTTTCATTCATTTCTCACTTAGGTTGCCTCCTTGGTGCTGCCGCTGCTTTTTCATCCTATCTAATATTCCACACAGTTTACAGAAAGTTTTTCTCCAAAAACAGAACTCAGGCTTGCCATTTCCTCCCTGAGCTGAGTCTCGGTTCCTCATTGACCCATTCTCGGCCCTTTCTCTCTGTTCAGTGCGTGGCAGCTCACCTGGTGGACGGCTTTACCTGGGCTCTTCTGCTTTCTAACCTCCTGTTGGGTGTAGCCAGTGAGACGCACTGATAGGAGGGAGGATAGAGAGGTTTCCGTTTTAGTACCTTCACCCCCTGTTGCACAGTGACAGCAGTGACTGTGTTCCATTAGACTATCTGCTCAGCACCAGTGGCACTGGGGCCACCCCACGCTCACTGTTTGAGGCCGAAGGGATCAGTGACTTACCTGTTTTTTTCGGGTTCCTGGGAACCTCAACCATCCTATACACATCTTTCAGTTAAATCCTTTTGAGAGTCTGTAGTTTCCTCCTGAGACTCTGATCCTTACCTCTAAAATCCTTCCTTCAGTGTTCTGCTTACAGCTTCTGGTGTTAAAATGTCCTCAGATGTTCTCTGTGCTCCATATTGGTGAATGGTGGATTCACGCAACATGATTTATCTCTTCTCTATGTTTGTGTACACACTGTCTCTGCCAACATCCTATCTTCTTGTCTGCTCCTTAACTTCCATTTCTTTGTTGATGTGTCTATTCTGGGAAGCTGACCTCAGTTCTTTTCTTCCACAATAGGATGGTAAAATGCCTGCTTCCTGGGTTATTAGAGTGCCTTCCAGATTCCGCCAGTAGTGACACTGGACTTCTGGCTCCTGCTAAGTTGGAAAGATAGAAACACTAATTGACATTTAGAAGAAATTATTGGTCATAGAATCTTCAGACTGCTACCATTATTCCCTGTGAATAAAATAAATAAGGATTCTGAGCAATTGAATAGTTAAGAAATGCATTCTTTTTTCTTCTTTCAGTTCCAAGATGTAGAGCCCTGAAGGAAATGGATTTAATTCAGAGTTCTGAATTAGATTGTTATTGTTACAATAAAAATACTCACATGAAGTGGAACTCCATTTGGTCAACTGTACAGGTAAGGGACTGCTTTTAAAAGATGTCTTGTGTACCATCGAGTTGGAACAGACCTGTGGCTGACTCTTCAGTGGGTTTTCTGAGGCAGTAAATTGCATGGGAGGAGACTACCCATCCTTTTCCTAGTGGAACAGCTATTGGATTCAAGCCATGTACCTTGGGTTGGCAGCACAATTCTTTACCACTAAGCCACCCATTTTCCCCTAATCCTAAAAAAAACGATAATCCAACAGAATGTGGAAATTATCAAACAATAGCATTAATATCACAGACAAGCAAAATATTACTGAAGATCATTCAGAAATGGCTTAGAATAGTACACAGAGAACTTCCAGAAGTTCAGACTGGGTTTAGAACCAGGGATATCATTGCAGATGCCAAATGGATCCCAACTGAAAGCAGAGAATACCAGAATAATGTTTGTGCTTTATTGACTATGTAAACACATTTGACTGTGTGGATCATAAGGAATTATGGCTAACTTTGAGAAGAATGAGAATTCCAGAACACTTCTTTGTGCACATGAGAAATCTATTTTTTAATAAAGAGGCTGTTGTACAAACAGAGCAGGGGAAAAAAGACTACATGGTTTAAAATTATGAAAGGTGAGTGTCAGGGTTATATTCTTTCTGTATATCCATTCAGTCCATAAGCTGAGCAAATTATTTGAGAATCTGGACTTAATGAAGAAGAATGTGACTTAATGAAGAAGAATGTGGCATCATGATCAGAGGAAGACTGACTTATCAACAACCTGCATTATGCAGATAGCACAACCTTATTTGCTGAAAATGAAGACTTGAGATGTTTGCTGCAAAAGATCAAAGACCACATACAGCTTTCAATATGGATTGCATCTCAACTTCAAGAAGACAAAAATCTTCATTGTTGGATCGATAAGCAACATCATGATGTATGGAAAAAAGACTGAAATTGTCAATTATTTCATCTTACTTTTTGTATTCATAGTCAACATCCTTGGTACCAGCAGTTAAGCCTGCTACTTAAGCCTGCTGTCAGGGACTTCTTCAGATTACTGAGAAACAGTTAATTATGCAAGTTTGAAGACTAATATGTGCCTGATTCAATCCGTAGTCTTTCAGTCACTTGCTGTGTATCTAAGAGCTGGATAATGAATAAGGATGACAAAAGAAGAATTGATGCCTTTGAGTTGTGGTGTTGGAGAAGAGTGCTGAATACTGAATACCCCATGCATTTCCAAAAGAACAAACAGACATGTCTGTGCATGAAAAAGTTCAGCCAGAGTATGCCTTGGAGACAAGGATGGCAAAGCTTGGTCTCACAGACTTTGGGGATGTTGCAAGGAAACGCTATTCCTTCTAAAGGAACACATCATGCTTGGAAAAGTGGAGTGTCATTGAAAGAAGACCCTCAATGAGATGGATTGACAGAGTGATGCAGCAGTGGGTTTCAGTGTGTCAGAGATGATGAGGATGGCACAGAAGAAGACACGGTTCAGGTCAGTTGTTCATAGGGTCACTGTGAGTCATACTCGACTAGATGGCACCTAACAATAACAAGAAGCCACCACCAGAGCACTCTGTCTTAGGTCCAGGGACAAAGGAGCACCCATGGAGTAGTGCATTACATGCTGGTCTGCTAACCAAAGGTGGTTTGCGTCCACTGGTTGTTAATGGGGAGTAAAATGGGTCATCTCCTTTCACAAAAATGTATGACTTTGGAAACCTGACAAGAGGTCATCCTGAGCCAAAGTACAAATGATGGCATTGGGTTTTGTTTTGGTATTTGAAGAATGGAAAGTAAGTTTTATGATGGAGAATGGATTTATATGGGTATCAGGATAAAGGCTGGCTGGAAGATGACACAGGATTGCAGGCGGGAGCTCTCGTGGCATGGTCAGTAGTGAGTTACACCACTAACTAAATACTGCACATCTCTGGTGGTTCGAATCCACCAGTGGCTCTGCGGGAAAAGATGGACAGTCTCTTCTATTGTGACTTACAGCCTCCAAAACCCAATGGAGAGTCACTTTGAGTCAGAACCACAACTTGATGGCAGTGAGTTTGAGCTTTGTTGTGCATTTTTTTAAAATGAGAGGAGGAACGTTGATGACACATTGGTTAAGCACTCAGCTGCTGAAAGGTCCGTGGTTCTGACCATAAGCTGCCCCATGGGAGAAAGATGTGGCAGTCAACCATGGTAAAGATAACAGCCTTGGAAGCATTTGGAGATGGTTCTACTCTATCCTTTAGGCGTGTGTTAAAAATCGACTCAGTGCCAACAAGTTTGTCATTTTGGCTTTTTTTGTATGGAAAGTTTCATTAACTCCTTCATACTCTTCACTAACTACTCCCTAAACTAGCCCATATAAATACACTGTGATTTGGTATTGAGTGGTGGTGTTGGAGAAGGGTACTGAATATCCCATGGACTGCCAAAAGAACGCACAGATACATCTTGGAGGAAGTGCAGTCAGAGTGCTCCTAAAGGCAAGGATGGTGAAGCTTCGTCTCATGTGCTGTTGACATGTTGTTGTTAGGCGCCTTCGAGTCGAGTACAACCTGTAGTGACCATATGAACAACAGATCTGAACCCTGCCCTACCCTGTGTCATCGTCACACTTCCTGGCACTCTAGAGTTCGTTACAGCAGTCATTGTGTCAATTCGTCAGGTTTAGGGTCTTCTTTTCTTTGCCAGCCCTGAACCTTTCCAACCATGATGTCCTTACCTAAGGAATAGCCTCTCCTAGAAACATGCCTGAAGTATGTGAAACAGAGCTCTATTAGCAGATGCACCTTAGTCCTCAAACTGACTTCATTGCTCCAGAACAATTTGGAGAGGTACCTGACTTCAGGAACTTGTTAGGAGGGGCAGTTCCTTGGAAAGGGACATCATTCTTGGAAACATGGAGAGTCAACAAAGGAGAGAAATACCTTAAAAAAACAAGTATTGACATAGCACCTGCAGCAGTGGGCTCAAGTGTGTCAGAAATTATGAGGATGGCCCAGGATAGGAGATACTTCAGATCTGTTATTCATAGGGTTTCTATGAGTCATACTCAACTTGACAGCATATACCAAGAAGTGAATATAGTGTGCTTGCTTTTTAAACACAGCTGAAGACAACATTCACCCTCATGCTTTATAATTATGATCCCAAGCTTATTTCATATAGAAATTTTAGCATTACCTCTGATTAATGTACCATAATTTCTCAGTTCATTTGTTTGTGGTTGGACATTTGGGCTGTTTCATGTTCTTGCAATGATGAATAATGCTGCTATGAACATTGGTGTACAACTCTCAGTTTGTGCCTCAATTCTCATATTTATACAGCCAGTCATGTATTCTCCCTGCCACTCTGCTGGTGGATTTAAAGAGCTGATAAGAAGTTTAACTGTTGTGTTTATGGACTTGTTTGTTGTTCTTTTGTAGGTGAAGGTTACCAGTCCAGGTTTGCTCCTTATTGTGCATATCACAGAAAGACATAAATGCCAGTATCCACAAACCATTATAACTTTTATCAAGTGTGTGATTCATAACTTTTGGATGCCAAGGGAATCTAACGATGCAACTATAGTCATCAATCCATATGGAGACACTGTATGTTTCTCTGTGCAGCCTGTCAGGGACATATTTATCTATACAATAAGAGTGACTCAAAATGGTAGGTCTGTTTTTGTTGTTTTCTTGATCTGTTCCTTTTCCGATATAACATTTTAGTAAGTTGACTTCTGTTTCTAACGCTATATTGACTCACTATCATTCCTTATTTTGTTTTTGGTTTTGTTTTTCCTTTTACCCAGTGATGGATATCAGTCTCTTCCTTGTGTTTGTGACAGGCATTGTCCTCTTCTTTTATGCAAAGCGCTTGAGTCAGTAAGTATTAATTTTTCACTTTCTTTTTTTTTAGATTCACATTATATTATTATTATTAATTTTAATGAAAATTTATAGAGACTTTAGATTTCCATTCATTCACTGTTGCACTTTTCTCCCTGCCCATCCCTCCCCCCCAATTTGCTTTTCTCTTTGAAAAATAAAAGAAAGATTCTTTCATTGACTATGCAACCTTCATTCTGGACTCATGTTTTGTACTGTACAACCCCTTGCTTTACAATTGGCTAAGATTAAGGCCCCAGGAATTGATGGTATACAAATTGACATATTTCAACTAACAGACGCTGCCCTAGATGTGCTCACCAATTTGTGCCAAGAAATCTGGAGAACAACCGTTTGGCCAACTGACTGGAAGAGATCTATATTTATTCCCATTTCAAAGAAAGGTGATCCCACAGAGTGTGGAAATTATCGAACAGTATCATTAATATCACAAGCAAGCAAGATTCTGCTAAAGATTATCCAAAAACGACTGGAACAGCACATCAGCAGAGAACTACCAGAAGTGCAGGCTGGGTTTAGATGGGGTCGTGGTGCTAGGGATATTGTAGCTAATGTTAGATGCATCTTGGTTGAAAACAAG